ATAAAATCCTGCAGTTTGAGCATTTTACAATAGCTACTAGAAGTAGTGGTAATCAATGGGGGGGTGGAGATAAAAAGTGGACAACTAAAAAGAACAATGTAAAAAGAAACTGCATGATGTTTCTAATTTTAGGAAATAAAATGAGGGACTTCTGTCTTTCCTCTCCCTGTAGAAATAACTGTGAGATATTAGAACATTAGGCTACAATAACAAAGGCAGAGGAGGATTTCAGCTAGCCATCAAACCAAATACCCGCCACAATGGCCGGCTCTAGAATACAGCACACCAGAAATCCAAAGTCCTATTTCTAGATCAGCTACTGAATTTAATTGGTACTATCCAATTTAAGTTAACCAATTATTTTACTCTTTAAGTTCTCACATCTGTAAATCAAATAACATTTTACCCAAACTATCTTTTATGACCTTGGAATGAGCAGACGACATCTGCAAAAGTAATGATCAATGGTTTAATCCCCATTATCCATTACAGAAATAAATGTTTCAAAACGTCCTCTATGTGCACAGGCTAGGCTGAAAGTGACGATCTTCCTAACCCAGATGAATAAAGCACCAACAAATGCTTAACTAATAATGACTGTGATTACATGAAAAAAAATGGAAGCACCTCAGAAACAATTTTATGGGTACTGGGCTGAACACAGGAGTCAGAGAGAATGAGGGTGGATTTGATCAAGAGACCAAATAAAAAGAGCAGCCATCAGCTGAGCCAGGCAGAGCAGAGGCACGTAGGCTGCTACGTCCTTTGGCTTCCCAAAGCACATCATTCATCTGTTACTGCATTTAATACACTGTACAGCACAGTTTATTTGTCATCCCCACTCAGAATGTAAATTCCTCAAGGACAGAAACCTTGTTCAATTCATTTTTCTATGCCAAATCCTTAGCATAAGGTCTGGCACAAAGAAGATAATCAATAAATGTTTTCTGACCAGGCAAGGTAAGGGCAGGATTTCCTATTTAAATTATTGTAAAACCTAGGTTATTTATGCAAGTCGTTTACTCCATGATTCTCATCTTCTAAACCTCCATTCTAGTCTCTGCTCTCTGGTGTTGTAGCTGAGACTGTACAGCTATATTTAACTACTCTTCTGCCAGAGGGCTCCTTGTTAGGCTCTGCCAATGTAGGTAGTAAACAAAGACTGGAAAGGAGGAAGGGGGTGAAGGAACTTCATCCCAATTGCTGGCATCAGCAACTGGTTGCAGCCTCCAGCTTCTTTCCATACTCCCAGAACTAGCCGCTAAACAACACGGAACCAGGCCCACAGAACCTCTTCTCTGAGCTCTCAGGCTGACTGGTGAATTGTTCCCTTTTTGTTCTTACGTCCACCTAACCAACTCCCTTTACTAAATACCCACTGTTGAAATTCCTACTGATGCTTCTGTTTCCTTTACTGGACACCAATACATTATTAAACACAGTGATTTTAACTGTTCTCTGCGACATCCTCTTGCTACTTCATTGAAGGGTAAAGAAAGTTTGGAGTTATTCCTATAGACAAAATCTACTTTCCAAAGGATAACTCAAAACCTTTTACACTTGTGCCTCTTAAGTTGCAGCACAAAAATCATTTACCTTTTGTGATGTAAACTATCCGACTTGAAAAGATAAACTAGAGAGGACACGAGAACCACCTCAGCAGTGCAGGCTGTTCCGAGCAGGTGCGCACCCCCTCCTTTTACCAGAGCACACCTCCAAGAGAAAACATGAGACGGCACAGCTGCTCTGCTGTTCCTCGGTGGTCTCAGCTCCCAGGAGCTTCTCCCAGTGTGGGCATCACGCCATCCTGAATGTGATTCTTACATTTAAAGACTTTTTTTTTTTTTTTGGTGTTCAACATGGCTCCTAAATGCAAGCTAAGTATTTCATCTAGGGTTCAACACAGAAAGAGCAACCTGTTCCAACAGTAAAGCTAAGCTGAACTTACTGGCACGTTGTTCTCCTTTTTAAGGGATTTTCTGGTATAATTTTTTACTACATGTGATTTTCAGTTTACATATTGACTTCAGAATTTAACTTCTTCATAATATTCAACACCACTGTACAGCAGAAACAAAAAGAAATCCCTCTTGCAGGACAGCCCACAATCAACACATCTTTTGAAAACAAATGAGCAAAATACTTTGATATTTTTCACATGGTCTGTTACGTCACTTAACAAGATGACTTCATTAAGCAATTTATTCTGAAATTAATTTTGAAAATAATTTTTCATCATTGTACTTAATAATAAATTGACTTGCTACATAGAAGCAGCAAAAGTGCTGTTAACCCTTTCCCTAAAAGACGTGGCAGAAGGTAAATTCAAGCAACAGGACTCTAAGAATTTTCAGTAATGTATGTAGATGCTAAGCATCCAACAAGAGATATCACTAGGCCAAGCCATCTACTAGTCCACTTCAGGTGCCCAACATTTGTAAGACAAAGATGTAATAAAGAGAACCTCAAACTTGAAAGTCTACAGCCAGTTCCATAGGAGTTCCTCCACAAAGCATAAAACTGGGGTAACAGCCCACCTACTCCCCGTCAAGGGACATACTAACACCAGCTTCTGCTTCAGGGCCAAGAGTTGCAGGGCCACCATCAGCATGTCCATGTAAAATCAACCAAGCTGTACTCTTACCACGAGAGACACCAGAGGACCCATTTGACATATCAGGCAGAAAAGATTAGGGGTGGTGAATAGACAGGATATATGGACTTTCTGGGAATGGACGGGGTAAATGTTACTGTACCTTTATACCCCAAATTATATCAGGATCTAAATTCGGTAAGTTCAGGAAATTAAATAACTGGTTTCTGATGACAATGTTGTAATAAATACTAAAAATCAAGCACAAATCTATATCTAATAATAATCTAATCTCACAGTATGTTTCCTTTTTTAAAAACTGCCCACTGTGATGCACTGTTTAGTTTTTCCAGATTTAATAAATGAGCTGCTACCAAATTACGAGGTGCTTTAAGTCATACTAGAAATGCTATTATAATTTTAATAAAGTGCTTTTTAATATTAACTCACTTCTCTTGGCTGGAAGGAATTACACTTTTTTGCTGCTGTGTAGAAATGAAACTGTCACTGAAACATCTGGTTATATATTATTCATTAGACATCTATCACCTTTTACTCCAACGACCGCATAATATAAGCATAAACCATGAATAAATCAGATTAAAGAGACAGACCTGACATCCAAAGATGTCTGCTGACCTGCTCTACATTTCTGTCCGTACAGACCTAGGAGCTAGCTGCCCAAGTGCTCCTCACAGGCAGAGGAAAATTCAAAATTCTCAAAGTCAGCATTATGTTAGTGGTTCTCATTTGAAAATTTTCCATGCACCACACCTAAGAATCATTAGCTTATTTTTCAGATACCTGAAAGGACTAGCTAGCCTACTGAGGCAGTTTTCCTTCATAAATTCTCCATTTCACTCCCTCACCTATTAAAATTAACCTCAAATGTGGACTGCACAAGGGTCCCTGAAGGAAGTAACTTGAATCCCTGGAAGAAGTGAGAGGCCATATTTGCTGTGCTATTCCTGGAAAATGGAGTCTTATATAACTACCCATTATTTTACTAAAAAGCATGTTCCATCAAGTGTACCATCAAGATTTTTGAAAATACCTGTTGATTGTGACAGGCAGAAATTCCGGGGGTGGGGAGGAATAACCAAGAATCATGCTGCTGCCATTTAAATTTTTTATAAATCAGAGCATCAAATATTCATTTTAAGAACCACAATCTAATACCAATGTAAGTTATTAAATATTCAACAACTATACCGTAAGGCAAGTGGGGAAAGACGATTAGCTACCAATTACACTAAGTATTTCAGCTCATCATCTTGAAACTACCAAAAGTAGATTTATGTAATGCCAACCATTCATACATTAGTTTTCAGCACGATTCTCAGTCTAAAACACTGAGACCATGTCCCAATTTTAATTCTTAAAAGCAATAAAGCATATGACTAAAATAACTGAATGCAAACCTATCCTTTTCATAGCAAATCTCTTTACACACCTCAGGGCAGCCTGACATCTTCAAACCAGTTTCCCGAGAAAAGGCACACACATTATCGAAAACTTCTGACAACCATGCAGGCAAGCCCCAAAAAGAGTTCACGAAGATAAGCCATTATGACTATGGCCGTACCGGGCAAATAATGGGAATACACCTCAAAGTGGGAGACGAATTTTTTACTAACAGTACCTCCGGGAGTAGGGAGGTGACTTCTGCAAGAAGGAAATGATCCTGACGAGCAGATCGAGGGCTCCCCGGCGACACCGGGTACCGAAGATCTCCGCGTAAACCACAGGATTCAAAGCGCGAAGCTTCCAGCAGAAACAAACCCAGACACCCCCTCCCCCCACGACTCCTCCAGGGCAACCTCGCGGTTTAGAAAGCAACAGATCCTCCCGCGCCGGCGGGCGGACGGCACTCCAGGAATGTTTTCACAGAGAGGGGTCTCCCCGCAGACAGCAGGGAACCCCCGACGCCGAGGAGCGCCTCCGCGCGAGCCCCGACTCCGACACCCCGGGTGGAAGGGGCTCTTTGCACAAAGCGCCCCCGCCCCACCCCCACGGTTTAGACACGCTACGGGCTGCGAGGGGGAAGCCCAGAGGAAAAAACCCATATTCCACGCCTTCCGCCTCCGGAAAGGGGCCGCGGAGGGGCTGGGGCCCCGGAGCGGAGGAGGGGGCCGCACGGCAGTCCCGGCCTCAGCGCTGTACAGCCGGCGGCGAGGGCTTCGCGGCGGAGGCACGGATCCTTTAGCTTCGTCCACCGCTCGTGGGTCCTCCACGGGAACAATGAGAAGCCGCCCTCCCCGCCCCGAGAGCTGCTGGGGGCGGCGACGCCATGTCCCATCACACCCCCACGGACACACACCCCCGGGCCGCCGTTGGCCGCCCGGTCCGGCCGCAGCAAGGCCCGGCCGCCGCTCCCTCGCCCTTCGCCTCCGCCCGTCCGACTCACCGGCTCCTGCCCCAGCCCGGGACTTCGCTGACCGTGGCCGGAGCGAGACTCGAGTCCAAGCCGCCGCGGCCGCCGGCGCCGCCGCACAATATGGCGAGCCTCGGCTTCCGCAATGGAGCTCGGGAAATACAACAGGGGCCGCTCAATATTCATGAGAGACCGAGGGGAAGCCGGCTCGGCCAGCGCTGCGGGGAGGGCGGGAAGGAGCGAGCAAGCGAGCGCGGAGGCGGAGGCGCGGGACGGGGACGGGGACGGGTACGTGCTCGGCGCCGGAGCGCCGCCGCGTGCTGGGCTGGAGGCCCGCGCCACCGCCCCTCCCCGGCCGCCGGCCCCGCCCCCTGCGCCCTCCGCCGGGCCCACGTAGCCCCCGGCAACGCCCGGGGACGGCGGCGCCTCCTCGGGCTGGCCCCCCTGCCTCCGGGAGCTCTGTGCCAGGGCCTGGGCCCACGCGGGGCCTGTGCTTCCCCGGCCCGCTGCGAGGATTTGCGCTCGGAGCTCAGCTCCCCTGTGACTGCCCCCCAGCTCTTAACACCCGTCCCGCCCGGTGGAAATCCTCCTTGGGTATGCACCTCCAGAACTTCACCTGAACTTCAGAACCCAGACACGCCTTTCAACACTCACACTCCACCCTGCACACTGAACCTGCAAGGTCCAATCATTCCAGGGAAAATGGCCTTCGATTCTCGCATTAGGTTGTTGGACGTCTGGATGCGTTCTGCTCGTTCTCATCAGCTCTCACTATTCACCTGGCTGATCTTCCATCTGTCTGGTCTCTCCCAGTATTAACCTTCCGAACTTGAGAATACGCATAGATTAAATACATGTAATTATTGTCTAAGGCATAACCTTAGACAATATGCAAAGATTACATGCAAAGATTATATGCATGCATAAAAATTAAGATATAAACTGAAAAAGTAACAAAGAACTGAAAGAGTTCCCTGGCCTCAAGATGTACTATTGATGAGGTGTCGACTTTTTTTTGAAAAAATAACGGTAATAGCCGGGGATTCTCCAGGCGTAAAGTGATGGACTGCACTGGTAATTCTTGGGCAAGCTCGGTTTAGAGCCTCCAGTGTGTCTCTAACTATGTGACTTACATAAATTAGTACATAACTCCTCTGGATTTATTTTTCTTACTTGCAAAATGAGAGGATTGTGTTGGATGATTCTTAGGTCTTTTTCAGTTTTGGAACTCTCCAAAGCTCTCTACAAGCAATGCCAAATAAGTGGTATGAATTTACTTAGGATTTTGGAAAAGCAAAAGATCAATTCCAGCTGGTGTGTTCAGAGATGATTTCCTGAGGGACTAGGATTTAATATTTAAAATACAAATGGCGACGCATTAGGTCTCCTACCTATCAATCCATTAAAGTGAACAACAGCAAAGCATTATTATTTTTCAGTGACTTGGAAATTTTCATCTACTATCTATACCTTTAAGTTAGAAACTATAATTCTCAGATACTACAAGCCTTTCTTCCAATGTGGAAAAGTAAAATAAAAATAATCATTAATACTTCAAAGCCTTCCTTCTAGTAAGGGTCTTCTTTCTGGAGACGGTGCAACTGCAGAAGCGTCTCCCATCTTTATATGTGATGACTACATGCGTAGATCAATGACGGATATTCATAATTCAGAACCTTTTGCTCTGTTAAAATGCTTATGAAAATAATGTGTTTAGATTAAGAAATTCAACTGATGTTGAGAAAAGCGATTATTTGTTGAAAGCACAGTATCTTTATGGATGAAACGTAAATAAATATAGTACTTAAAAATGTTCACAGGAGAATTAGTGGGAAAATGGAAAACTTATGGGATATCTGGATTAAATGTGATTAAAAAGACTTGAGGCTGGCATCCTTAATATGGAAGATACTACTGACAAATTCATGGAACCCATATAATCTCTTTTATCTCTTACTCAAAAACTCGGCACTTTGAGAGTATTATGGGCCTTCCTGACTATATCAGTTAGGAAAGGTTATATCATGGTGTAGTGGTGAACATCTCCAGAATCTCCATACCTTAACAGAAGTTTATTACTTGCTCATACTTCATGTGGATCAGACTCACTCTGGATTGACATGCGATCCACCATCTTGAAACTGTAATACCCAGAACAGGACAACTGAGTTTCCATGGCAGAGGAAGAAAGTGACTAAAGAATCCCCACGGTCTTTTCACAGCTTTAGTCTGGAAATAAATCACTGTTCACATTTCATTGGCCAAAACTAGTTACCCATAGCCTTCTGTAAGGGTCCTTGAACTTAATCCTTGAACCCAGTTTAGGAGAAGGGGGAATATGGTGAACAGCAGTCATGTCCACCACCCAGACCCCCTCATTTAGCTCCTAGGTATTATGAAAAAACTCCAAAGTGGCTTCCGGAGAGTTATGCTTTCAAAAATGAACCCTCTCTACTTGTTAAGAGTTGACTATTATGTAAAAGAACAGACTTTATATTTTCTTCCCTTTTGTTTAATTGCATAGTAAACCAAAGGCAAGTATATAGCAGTCTATCAGTAGTGATTTGACATCTCCAGCCTATTTTCTTTTGGGTAACTTCTTGGCTTGACTAAAGGATATCACCCTAAAAAATGTTTTCTACCACTCTGCCCCCCACCTCTTAAACATACTTATTAGAATGATAATCTTATTTTAAGTAGGAAAATTATATTATATTATATTATATATTATCACACTACATAATATCATATTATAGGTGAATAATTAAATGAACTCTGGTTAAAATGGCTGTTTTTTCCTCCAAACTTCAGAAGTAGTACCCTGTTAATCACACAGTGAATTCGGTAGTCATTTCTGATCACAAAAATTACCTCTTCACTGGCCGTCTGTTATGTGTAATGCTACAAAATTAGATTAGTTCAGCTCAATCAACTTTTATCGAGCATTTGGTACGTGCCTACACTTTACCGAGTGCTTGGAAGAAAGATACTTGTGTAACTAATACCTTTAGTTACTAGTACTACTAACTAATTTACACTAATGCACTAGTGGCTAGTTACACCAGTTATATTAGTGTAACTAGTGTGTAACTAGCATAATTAGGACTTAAGTTCCTTGAGAGCAGAAACCTTGTCCATCAGTGTATACCTAGAGACTATCACAATGTTTGGCACACAGAGCAGATGCTCAAGAAATACATAGTGAAAAAATGAAAGACTGGAAATCTTTGACCCTGTGTGACACAGTGAGCTTGTTGGGGCTCACCATTATCACTCGAGAGCAGAAATTTCTATCAAAATTGCACTTAGTCCCTCCAGAGGCTTTCTGTATATGGGCAGTGTGTCTTAAATGGAAATTTACACCTGCCTATTGTATATTCACCACATGGATTTCCTTTCACTTGTGCTCCAAATATCTAACTGTTATCTGCTCGTCTGAAGTGAGGACTGCAAGTCACTAACACATAAGGTATGTATATAACTCAGTTTATAGAGCACTTTTATATCCATTATTTCACTGAATCGTCACAGCAATCCCCCAGGGTATTATTCTACTTTATCGACAGGGGAAATGTGACTTCTGTCACATTGAGCTCAGCGTGGCTCAGACCTAGGTCATCTGATTCCAAGTCCAAAATACTTTCCATTAAGCCATCTGTGCCTTCTGGCTCGGTGCTGTATACACAATTCCAGCAATTTTTTTTTCTGTCTAACTGGTAAACAGTATGTGAGACAAACATCTCCGGAGCTTCCGCTCAGCACTAGTCATTATTCCAGTCCTCAGTGCGGTTTATTTTCCAGAAGCTGGAGATGATACTGAATATAACAGTATACAAACCTGATCCACTGACAGAAAACCAGCAGGTTTTGTTTTTGTTTCCTTACAAAACTTGCTTTTAAGAAATCAAGACAAAATAAAGACTGAAAGGTAGGTTGGAAAACTGAAATAGCTTGGGATTTAATCACTATATAGAAAATCTATATACAGCTCACACACACACACACACACACACACACATAAATGTACATGCTACCAAAACCTTATTTATAGCACATCTTATAGCACAAAAAACACATCTTATAGATGTGGTATATGCTTTCTTTGAAAGGGTCGCATTAAATAGGGTCGTATAAGAAAGGCCTAAAAAGACATCGTCCAAGGTGGCTTCAGGAAGCAGGCAACTCTCTGTAGCTTAAAAAAAAAAAGCATGGCTCTACAAGTTTTAGTGAAGTTTCATGTGTATTTCAGCACACCATATTTCTTTTTGTGATACTTCCCTAGGTGTTCTAGTTCACTGTTCCTTTTTTTATATTCCCAAGATAACCCAAATCATGGTGTTCCTCTTAATTATCCAACCTAAAGGAGCAAACCATTAAATACGATGGGCCAGTCAGACTTTAGGGGAGAACTGAACAATATTGCTATTTCCCTCCTACGGGGACTTAGAATGGTATTTTTATATGTCCCAGATGTGACCGCATTCTGCCTAACATCTGTTAGTACATTTTATTAAAATAATGAACCAGCATGTGTTTGAAAAGTCAAAAGAATGAATAAAGCTTTTCATTCCGATGCAGCACAAATAGTCCGCCATTTCTTTGCAGTTAATAACGGAGTACATAAATGGGAGAGATTACAGTGATATCGAATTTCAAACATAAAATAAAGTATGATTCAATAATGAATGGCTCTAGTTTTCTAATATGAGGAAAGTTTATTCCACTCCAACCCACTTTGATGTATGCATTGGCGCTGGTCGAGGAGCACCAGAAATCATCCTGGAAACGAACAAGGGTTAAAACATCCAGATGGAAATTCAGACCGGAATGGAAACTTCTCTGGGAGAGAAGGTTGGAAGATCCCAGAGGGGAGGGACAGATGGAGAACACGGAATATGTAAATCAAGTTACAGCTTGCTCAGCTGCTTTTGTGGACATTTTCATGTTTCCTACTTAAAACAAACACGTGTGCTAAAACGGTTTTTGTGGGATGAGAGAGTGGAGGATAGAGATAGAGTGGAGGATTAGTCTCTTAACTAACGCATTTCTTAGAAACATTTTTTTTAGTTAGAGAATTTAAGTGAACTGCCAAATCCCGCCCATACAAAGAAAGTTTTATTTTATTTTACACTTCCTCAAGAACAGGAAACCTCTGCAGTATCCATCCACTGAGTGTTTTGGTAGCATCTACGTTAGCATTTTGTTCTCTACAAAAGCCAACCATTTGAGTATACGTTGAACAACACATTAAAGTAGGTTATAAT